TCATTGTACCTTCTTTATTTGAATCCTCCTCGTCAAATGGGAAAGGCACGTAAACAAGTTCATCGTCCTCTGAGTAGTGAGGATACTCCTGGAAAACTGCAATGAGCGAATTTTAATACTCTCATGTATGTAACGTACTTGTACAAAGAGCGGAGTTGTCAATAAAATATCATTTAAAGGAACAAGCGAGTTGTGTGTAAGCATATGCTGCGGTTCATGAGTTGTGGATGTCACTAGTAATCGAGGTGCCTGCGCGACTGCAGGCGGAAGTCGTGTTAGTCTGGTGCCTTTAGGAATGTACACGGACGCTGGACCACTGCCAGCAGCAAGATAAATCGCTAGTCGCATCCAAGACGAGCAGGCCTAGAAAGATTATTAAGAATGCACCCAAGAAGGGTTGCCGCAAAAGACTTACCTCAGGTATTGGAGGCCCGATAAACGGCAGGGACGAAGAGGGTACAGTACATGCATCAAAGGATAAGGGCGCCATAGAAACAACGATTCTATAAGGGAAATAGCCTAGAACCAGGAAAGGCGAAAATTTCAAGCAGAGCATACCCATAAGATTTGGCCAACACTCGAATTCTACTCTGCGGATCCAAGCTTAGCAAACTCTCTCCTCTGAGCATATCCACCTCCCTTCCTTTCCGTAAACTCCGAAGAATATCCAAGAGGGCTATAGCGTGCTCAGAGTAACGTTGCGCTTCTCCTTCAGCAAAATGATTAACCTGAATATGCACATTTATAGCAGATGTGGATGTTTTCCCCTTCGAGAAACCTCAAAGGAAGAGCTTACGCATTCCAAATTTTCCAAAAAATCGCGCATTTGTTCGTCAGCCAGTTTACCAACTTCAAACAATGTGACAGCATGGCCCTTGAAATGAGTTATCAGTGAAAGATGCCGAATGCTTTCAACTGACTGACCTTAAGAGAGCTGGACAAGTTACCCATCATCAAAAACGCAGCCAACGAAGAGTCAAAGAGGAAAGCAGTTCGCGAAGCAGATGATGGTACGTCAGATGAAGGTTGTGAAGGCGTCTAGAAATCTTTTATGCCAGAATCAAGCGATGTTGTGACAATGGCGCTTCACCGTTTCTTTAGCGCTGTAATTGTTCACTTGAGCTGTCTGTTCATCATCGTCATCATCTCCTATTGGGGATGCGAGAGAAGCCGACAGCTCCCCTAAGTCACCAGAGACGGACGTCACCAAATCTTCTCTGAAAGTGGGACTTCTAAATCTACAACAATATGCGTTTGACTGAATGAAAGTAAAAATGAGGAATGACGAAGCCACAGAAAGTTAAAAAGCTTGCCTTATTTATTTAATAGCAAAAGAAGTTTAAATTTGAAAGTAAACCTACTGAGTTGGCGAGTTTGGTATGGAAACAATCTGCGCCCAACTGTAATGGAGCCGAGCAGTCTCCATTCCTGTCACTCTCTTTTTAGCAAAACCAAGCCGACAAAACACTGAAATGGCGTTCGCCACAAGATAGAAGTCTATATGAAGCATTTCGGCCATCTATAAAGGAAATCGGAGGATTTCTCTTATAGTAGTACAGCGCGGCATAAAATACCTCTTTCACCGTAGTCTGGTCGTCGATCGCCACGAATATCTTGTAAAGCAATGTCTCAAAATAGTCGCCAAGGACACGATTCATTACGAAACCATCCAGTGGGGCGACTAAGGAACAACGCAAAGAAACCTTTCAAAATATAATAAGAAAACCTGACCTTACCGTAAACATAGTCAGATTCTACTACAGGTACATCAAGGTAGACAAGACCGCGTTCCAGCAGCGTGTTCACCACTGGGACTGGTAGCAAACCCGCGGCCTGTGGCCCCTCATCTATCAAACAATCAACAACTCGTCGCTCATCTTCCGTCAGGATCTGTTAGTCAATAACGTCATAAGTAAAATACGAAGAGTATTGGAAAATTTACCTTAATGTCAGCCTCAAGTATACTGCCAGGGCATACGATCCACCACGGCTCCACGGATAACTGAAATTTGCGAGAGATAGGAGACTGAAATGGAACACTTGTATCCGCTCCTGTTTTACCTTAGCTGGTTTTTGTGGCAGGAGCTCTCGTAATGGACGATTCCTTCGCAGAAACTTTCGATTTGACCTGAGGTGTGTATAATTATTAAACCGTAGATATCAATCACATCAAGAGGCAGCGCTGAACTAGCTTAGAAAATCTCGTCTTTACTCGACATTGATCTCTGCATGAAGCATTCATATCAGATTTCAAACTCGTTCTCCAAAAACTTGCAACCACAAGTTTTTCACTGAAA